CGGAGCCGACCCTCTGCGCAGCGCCACCCCGACCAGCTCCACCTCCTCCGCCGCCTCCTCCTCCACCGCCGCCACCTCCGCTCCCTCCGCCACTGCCGCTGCCGCCTCCGCCTCCACTGCCGCCACCGACACCTCCACCCCCGCCACCACCCCCACCGCCACCCCCACCTCCTCCACCGCCTCCACTGCCGCCTCCACCGCCCCCGCTAGCTCCTCCAGCGCCCCTGCCCCCCTTGCCCTTGCCAGGGCGGCGTCTCCCGCTAGGGGTAGACGCCGCACCGACCGACTCAAGCCCAACGAGGTCGGCCGCAGCAGCAGAGGCAACAGAGGGCAAAAGGGGGGAGGGGGAACACCCCTCAAAGATGGGGGTGCGAGGGTCACCACGAGAGGCTCCTACAGCTACTATGCTCTTCTCTGCTGCTAGGAGGGACTTCTCGAGGAGGTCAACGGTGAGAGTGGTGGGGCAAACTGAGAGGAAGTGGTCCCTGACTACGCGAAGGGAGTCAGGGAGCCGGGTGACTATGTAGTAGAGGGTGATGTACATGGGGGGGGGGTTCTTGGCGCAGAACTCAGCAGGAAGCGCAGCGCGGTAGCGAGTGTCACTAGTGCGTAGGTGCGTAATGAGGTCAGCGACTGTGGGAAAGGCAGCAAGGTCAGGGAAGAGGTACGGTAGCATGAGGCGACTCAGTGCAGCAGTGGCAGGGGAGGGGTAGCGTGCAACTACAGCATCGTACAAGGTCTGAGCACTCTTGTACTGGCTAAAGTGCGCACGCTCAGAGGTAGGCAGGTGGCGACGCACAGCAAGACGTGCAGCAGCATCGCGCGTGGCCCACTGGGAGCGAACAGTTGCGTCAGCATCAGTGGCGGGGGCAGGAGAGGCACCAGAAGTGAGGTCAAAGAGGGAGAGGCCGTCTGCCCTATCGCACTGTAAGAAAAGCTGCAGGTCATCTATCCAGACGTCAAAGTCAATGGCCCGACCCTCAGCGTCAAAAGCGAGGACACTAGGGGTAGCCATGACAGCAGTAGACTAGCAGCGCAAACAGTGGGGTGAGGGCAGTGCTGTGAGAGAGGCGCTGCTCTTACCGGACAGGGCGGCTCGGGCGGCTCGGCTGCAGGGCGGCTCGGCGACTCGGCTGCTGGGCGGCTCGGCTGCTGGGCGGCTCGGCGGCTGGGCGGCTCAGCGGCTCGGCTGCTGGGCGGCTCGGCGGCTCTGCTGCTGGGCGGCTCGGCTGCTGGGCGGCTCGGCGGCTCGGCTGCTGGGCGGCTCGGTGGCTCAGCTGCTGGGCGGCTAGGCTGCTGGGCGGCTCGGCGGGGCCGCTGAGAGGGCGGCGTCCGGGGCCGCTGGGAGGAGGCGGCGGGGCCGCTGAGAGGAGGCGGCGTGGCCGGAAAGGTAGGTGGCGGGGCCGCGTCAGGGGCCGCGACAGGGGCCGCGTCAGGGGCCGCGTCAGGGGCCGCGTCAGGGGCCGCAGCAGGGCCGCGTCAGGGCGCCGCGTCAGGGGCCGCGTCAGGGCGCCGCCAGGGGCCGCGGCAGGGGCCGCGTCAGGGCCGCGTCAGGGCCGCGGCAGAGCCGCGTCAGGGCCGCGTCAGGGGCCGCTTCAGGGCCGCGGCAGGGGCCGCAGCAGGCCGCGTCAGGGCCGCGTCAGGGGCCGCGGCAGGGCCGTGTCAGGGCCGCGGCAGGGGCCGCGTCGGGGCGCCGCGTCAGGGGCCGCGTCAGGGCGCCGCCAGGGGCCGCGGCAGGGCCGCGTCAGTGCCGCGTCAGGGCCGCGGCAGAGCCGTGTCAGGGCCGCGTCAGGGGCCGCTTCAGGGCCGCGGCAGGGGCCGCGGCAGGCCGCGTCAGGGCCGCGTCAGGGGCCACGGCAGGGCCGCGTCAGGGCGCCGCCAGGGGCCGCGTCAGGGCCGCGTCAGGGCGCCACCAGGGGGCGCGTCAGGGGCCGCGATAGGGCGCCGGCAGGGGCCTCGTCAGGGCGCCGCCAGGGGCCGCATAGGGGGCGCGTGGGAGGCGGCGTAGGGGCCGCGTAGGGGCAGCGTAGGGGCCGCTAAAAAAAAAAATTTTAGGGCAGGGCGCAATGTGCGCGGGCAGCTAAAAAAAAAAAATTCTTATGGTGGGCCCTTAGGAAGGAACGGTCCCATGTAGGAACCCGCTCTATACCATGTGAATCAAGAAAACAGGAATGAAATGACTAATTGAAAGTTGGGTACAAAAGGCAAACCCTAGGCAACTGTACCCCATATGTGCTACCCCACTATAGCCTACAGTAGCTATGTCATATAACTCTGACAGTCCCTCCTTGCAAGCGTCTGTGGTCGCCACGTACTCCGACTCGGTCGACGACAGTGTCGCGCACTTGATGCGCGAGCTTGACCAGGAGACTGCGGCCCCTCCGTAGACGAACACGTAGCCACCCGTGCTTGTCCGGTTCTGCTTGTCGCCCGCGTCGTCGGCGTCCACATACCCGATAAGCTCCAGCGACTCTGGTTTACCGCCGAACTCTAGGGCGGTGTCGCGGGTGTCAGCAAGGTAGGCGAAGCAGCGGTCGACCTCGCGCCAATGCTGGTCGCTGCGGAGAATGCTATTCTAAGGGAGAGCTGAATTGAATGGGACGCACGGTCAGAGTTCTGGCAGTGATTCTTGAGAGGGTGTTGAAATGCCTTAGTAGAATTCAAGCATAGTTTCAGTAAGAAAAGTTGATAGAACAAGACTATGGTACAATGAAGGAGAACCAAATAGCAAAGACAAAGAACCCTGGAGAAACGTTCCTCGACAAGCAACCACCTTTGCCGAGTCAGAAACGGCAGGTGAAACGACAAGCACATGTGTCTTTCATCTTATTTGGCAGTTTCTCAGGTTTACAGCTTTCAAAGTTGTATACGTTTTTACTGTTAGTAAAAACGTGTTTCAGGTTCAGTTTCCTTACTGATTTGAATTCTCCTGGGGATTACAATTTCCGAGATGCTCTGATTGGTCGAAATTCGCGCATTTCGCAAATTTTGGAGATAAGTAATTTTGGTCGACCAGAATCGCTCTGCTCGACGATGCCTCTTTTAAGCTTAATTCTGTCGACCAGCGTTTCATCGAAGCGTTGTTTTCTTCAACTCCGTCTACCCGCGAGGCTCGCTTTTGACGCCAATTTCCTCCCGTCGACAAGTGCCTCGTCGACGGGCAGTTGCGTGGAGCAGAAACAACACTTCAATTTCGACGAATTAATCTCGTCTAAAGTCGACCCGTCGCACAGAGATCAGAGTCCCAGAGGCTGTCGCACCCAGATAAAAGTCCCCGAAGTCGCTGATAACCACGAAGCGAACTGTGTTGTGCTCCGAAAAGCACGGTCGAGTTTGCCCAAGCGAGGGCGGGGCATTTTCTCATTGATAGTCGCTCCTCACCGCGAGGCCGTTCCCCAGATTGCTGCAGGCAAACGCGATGTCCGGCCTCGTCGTCGTCGCCGCAAACTACAGCGAGCCAACCTTCTGCCGGCACTCCTCCACTTCGCGCTCTTGCGCCTCTTCGTCATCGAATGTCAGCTCGGTGTAGGCGTCAACCGAGACCGGCGTCTTAGGGATACGCCCGCCTTGCAACTCGTCGATGAAGCGCCTACGCAGCTTGTCGGCGTAGTTCTGCTGGTGTAGCCACAGCTTCCTTGCCGGCCTGTCGCGCACGATCTCCAGCCCGAGATACTTCATGACCGGCGAGATCTCCCGCAGCTCGAAGGCGGCCTCCGGCAGCTCCTTCGGGCCCTTCAGCATCGCGGTGCTGCTGCTGGCGGCGAGCAGGTCGTCGACGTAGACCAGCATCCAGCAGGTCACTCCGCCATCACCGGCCTTGAAGTAGAGCGCCGTGTCGACCTGGCTCTTCTTCCAGCCAGCGCCCTGCAGCACGCCGCCGAGAGCCCTGTACCACAGCAGCGGCGACTGCTTCAGCCCGTAGAGGCTCTTCAACAGCTTGCACACCCGGCCGGTCCCATTGTCGAAGTAGTCCGGCTGGTACATGTACAGCACGCGGTCGAGCTTGCTCTACAAGAAAGCGTTCTTCATGTCGAGCTGCATCAGGTTGAGGTCGAGGACGGCGACGATGCTGAGGAAGATCCTCAGCATGACGTAGCTGCTCATAGGCAAGTACGTCTTGTCGTAGTCGGCGCCGTACAACTGTGTAAAGCCCTTCACGACCAGCCTCGCCTTCTCACGCTCGACGGTGTCGTCGATGCGGTACTTGGTCGTCAGCACCTACCGGTTCTTCATGATGTTCACCCCGCGTGGGCGTTCGACCAGCTCCTAAGTGCCCATGCCGATGAGGCTGCGGATCTCCTCGTCCATGGCGGCCTTCACCGCTTTGCCCTTCCAGCTCGCCAGCGCTTCCTTCACTGTCATCGTCGCGATGTCCTAGCGATGTTTGGGGTCGGCATGCACGTTGGGGTCGAGCTCCAGCAGGTCGACGTTGTCAGAATGTATTTGCTGTTTAGCCTGCAGTGGGGTACTCTGTAGTGAGTACAACCCAATTTAGGGTTTGCTATTTGTATCCCAACTTCCTATAGTGAAACCACCTCTTTTTCGATTCTCCCTTCCCAATTCTCTCGACACTCAACTCTCTCGACATCCTTCCTAGCCATGGTTCCTAAGTCACTACTATTCTAACATGGTATTAAGAGCAATAAGTTCTAGGACCTAACATCAATGGGCCCACCACCTAATGCCCTGCTAGCCTAGACCCCGGCCCGTCGCCCCTTGGCGTAGCCCTTAGCCCCTAGGCTCGGCCCCTTGGCCCCGTCGCCCCTAGCTGTGACACTCGGCCCCGTTGGCCCCGTCGCCCCTAGCCGCGCCCCTCGGCCCCGCTGGCCCTGTCGACTCCGTCGCCCCGCGCCCGGCCCGTACTTAGCCCGGCCCCGTACCTGCCCAGAGCTCGGCCCCGTACCTGCCCAGCGTCCGGCCCCGTACCTGCCCAGCGCCCGGCCCCGTCCCTAGCCATGGGCCCGTCGCCCCTAGCCATGGCCCCTCGCGACCTGCCGCCCCTAATTGCGGCCCCGGTGCCCTGTTGCAACATGGTGGGTGAGGGGGTGGCAAGAGGGGGTTCCTCCTGCCCGCGTGCCCTACAGTTACATGCGCAGCTCCGCCCCCGCCCCCCTCCCCCCCCTCCATGGGGATGGCGGGGAGAGGGTGTGAGGGGGTGGCGGATGTGCCTCAGCAGCAGCAGCTGCCGCCACGCCTCCTCCTCTCTCTCTCCCTGCCGCACCTTGTGGTGGGAGAGGGGGGGGAGCTTGGAGGTTCAGGGGGAGGCAGGAAGGGATCTGCAGCACCAGCCCCCCCCCCCGCCCCCCCCCCCCCCCCCTTCTCCTCCATCTCTCTGCTGCGGGTGCAGCAGTGGGGGAGGGTATGGGGGTGGCGGGTGTGGCCAACCTGCTGTCGCCCGAGCAGCTCCTGCACCGCCCCTTCTCCTACCTCCCCCCTGCTGCGGGTGCAGTAGTGGGGGGGGAGGGGATCTGCAGCACCAGCCCCCCCCCCCCCCCCCTTTTCTCCTCTCTCTCTCCCTGCCGCACCCTGTGTTGGGAGGGGGGGGGAGCTTGGAGGTTCAGGGGGAGGCAGGAGGGGATCTGCAGCACCAGCCCCCCCCGCCCCCCCCCCCCCCCCCCCCCCCCCTCCGCCCTTTTCTCCTCTCTCTCTCCCTGCCGCACCCTGTGTTGGGAGGGGGGGGGAGCTTGGAGGTTCAGGGGGAGGCAGGAGGGGATCTGCAGCACCAGCCCCCACCAGCCCCCCCCCCCCCCCCCCCCCACTTCTCCTCCATCCCCCTGCTGCGGGTGCAGCAGTGGGGGGGAGGGGATCTGCAGCAGCAGTGTGGGGGAGGGGAGTTGCAGCATCAGCCCCCCCCCCCCCTCACTTCTCCTCCATCCTCCTGCTGCGGGTGCAGCGGTGGGGGGGAGGGGATCTGCAGCCTTGTGCTGCCTTGCAGCCCTGCTGTCCTGCTGCCCTGCGCGCCCTGTGCGCACTGCAGCCCTGCGCGCCCCGCGCGCCCTGCTGCCCTGCAGCCCTGCAGCCCTGCTGCCCTGCAGCCCTGTGCGCCCTGCTGCCCTGTTTGCCCCTCGCGCCCTGCTGTCCTGCTGCCCTGCGCGCCATGCGCGCCCTGCAGCCCTGTGCGCCCCGCGCGCCCTGCTGCCCTGCAGCCCTGTGCGCCCTGCTGCCCTGCAGCCCTGTGCGCCCTGCTGCCCTGCTGCTGCCGCTACAGCCCTTGCTGTTGCCGCTACAGCCCTTGCTGCTGCCCTGCGCGCCCCGCGCGCCCTGCAGCCCTGCTGCGCCCCGCGCGCCCTGCTGCCCTGCTGCCCTGTGCGCCCCGCGCGCCCTGCAGCCCTGCGCGCCCTGCGCGCCCTGCTGTCCTGCGCGCCCTGCGCGCACTGCAGCCCTGCGCGCCCCGCGCGCCCTGCTGCCCTGCAGCCCCGCGCGCCCTGCTGCCCTGCAGCCCTGTGCGCCCTGCTGCCCTGCTGCCCTGTGCGCCCCGTGCGCCCTGCAGCCCTGTGCGCCCAGCGCGCCCTGCAGCCCTGCGCGCCCCGCGCGCCTTGCTGCCCTGCAGCCCTGTGCGCCCTGCTGCCCTGCAGCCCTGTGCGCTCTGCTGCCCTGCTGCTGCCACTACAGCCCTTGCTGTTGCCGCTACAGCCCTTGCTGCTTCCCTGCACGCCCCGCGCGCCCTGCAGCCCTGCTGCGCCCCGTGCGCCCTGCAGCCCTGCGCGCCCTGCTGTCCTGCTGCCCTGCGCGCCCTGCGCGCACTGCAGCCCTGCGCGCCCTGCGCGCACTGCAGCCCTGCGCGCCCTACGCGCACTGCAGCCCTGCGCGCCCCGCGTGCCCTGCTGCCCTGCAGCCTTGTGCGCTCTGCTGCCCTGCAGCCCTGTGCGCCCTGCTGCCCTGTTTGCCCCGCGCGCCCTGCTGCCCTGCAGCCCTGTGCGCCCTGCTGCCCTGCTGTCCTGTGCGCCCCGTGCGCCCTGCTGCCCTCTGCCCGCGCCATGCACAGCCCCCCCCCCCCCCCCCCCCCACTTCTCCTCCATCCCCTGTTGCAGGTGCAGCAGTGGGGGGAGGGTATGGGGGTGGCGGGTGTGTGAACCGTCCCCTGCTCCTCCTCCTCCTCCGTCTCCCACTGCTGCAGCTGCCGCTGAGGGGGGTGGGTGTGTGGGAGCCGAGGGAGTGGTGCTAGGGGGGTGACGTGGGAGTGGAGCTAGGGGTGCAGCAAGGGGTGTGTGTAAGGGGGGTGGGACAGTTGGGGGAGGTTGAGCAGAGGCTGCCGTCTTGTCGTCCGCAGCACCTGTAGTCCGGGGCTCTGCTTCTGGTAGCTCAGAGAGCCTGCTGCGCCTGTCGCCTGTGGGTCCGTTGCTCCTGCCGCTCAGAGTTAGCCGCAGAGCCAGTTACTCCTGTAGTCCGGGGATACGGCCCTGGTAGCCACAGTGCGCGCCGCTCCTGTTGCCCGTGTGTCTGCAGCATCAGCCGTCGCCTTCTATCTCCTCTCCTCTCACAGTCCAGCCTCCTCCTCCTCACTTGCCCTTTGTGAATGCCTCTAGCTTTGCTTGTACTTGTGAACCTGCTCTATGACTGCTTGATCTGCTGATTATACCCCACTTTTACTATGGGGGTGTGTCAGAATGTATTTGCTGTTTAGCCTACAGTGGGGTACTCTGTAGTGAGTACAACCCAATTTAGGGTTTGCTATTTGTATCCCAACTTCCTATAGTGAAACCATCTCTTTCTCGATTCTCCCTTCCCAATTCTCTCGACACCCAACTCTCTCGACATCCTTCCTAGCCATGGTTCCTAAGTCACTACACCAACGTGGCCAGGGCAAGGGCTCGACCCAAGGGACACGGGAAACAGCAGCCACTCAAGCAGGAGGTCCAGCGGCAGCAGGCGGAGGAACCTGGGCAGCCGAGGAGGGGGCAAATGGATAGAGTGGCTGGAAACAAGGGGAAGATGAACAGAGAACTGAGAAGTTTGTTAGAACAAGGGTGAAGGAGGAGCAAGGAAGAAGAGGTAGCAATGCCCGCAAGGGCACAGAGCCACCAGATTCCGACAGCTGTCACGATTTTAAACTTAGCGTAGGTGAACAAGATATAAATTCGTGACTAATAAAATAATAGGAATATGAAGTAAAAATAGGGTAATATCAGGCAGGCGGGAGGCTGAAACGAACAAGGCAGAGTTGGGATTTGGTGGGAGAAAGAGTACCGTTAGAGCAACGGTAACCACCAGTAGGTATTTAACCAAGTAGGCAAAGTAGGAGCCTTGCTTGTGTGTTTGTTTTCACACTATGCTTAAACTTCCTTTTATTACTACATGTAACTAAGCAGGAGAAGCAACCCACCGCAAGCACTGATTCCGTATTGCCTACTTGAGATCCAGTATGCCGAGCGAGAGTTATCTCATCAGTAGCAACTACGGACACCAAGCTTCCGACACATCGCCAGCGGCCGACAAGGCGTCAAGCTTGTCGACCAGGACAGGAAGCCGTCGACGACATGGGAGCAGCAGACAGGGGAGCCGATCGAACAGGAGGCAGCAGCAGGGGTGCAGTCGACAGGGGAGCAGCAGACGGAGCGGTTGACAGGGGAGCTGTCGAAGACAGCAGGAGGTGAGCAGCCGGTCAAAGGGTCGAAGCAACTGGTCGACGACGAGGACGTCGACGAGGAAGGGCAACCACTGACAGTGACGTGGTGGAGCTTCCAGTCAAGAAGCCTGAGCTGTGACGCACAGGTCAAACTCGGAAGCAGCCAGAGTGGCTGGTCTTCCACGCCTGCTTGCCACCAGTTGCCTTACTTTGTGTAGTGTAACATTTCTCTTGGTGTAGGCCCTTGTGGAGGGTAGTTTCGAGACCCTTCGTGGTTGGGGACAGTGTGGCACTGTTCCACATCACTGTACCTCAGCTCTTGGGGTTTGTACGAGCTGGGAGTCATTCCCAACTCGTAACTCTTCCTAATTTGTGTTCTAAGTCTATAGTGGCTGCCAAAGTGCCGTTCGTTCAAACCGACGCTGTGTCGTCAATTCTTAATGAAATCGTGCAATCTAAATTGCTTAGTGTAGGCGACATTAAGACGCTCCAGATCCAAGTTGAATCAGGTCATTTAAAGCTGTGACCAGAACGCAATCAACGTTTGAAGCTGCCGTGCAGAAATCCGTCTGTGCACTCTATCTTTTGTTTTAGGCACATTCAAGCCTATTATGACTATAACAAGTGGTATCAAAGCCCCTTGGAGCAGTTTCGACAATGGCTGGACCTGAGGAAAGGGGTGGCAGAGGTGCTGGTGGCAGTGGAGAAGCCCAAGCTCAAGGCCAACCCCGTGATTCAGCCATGGCGCCCGTGCAACCAAGTCTTGGCCCACCTAGGGATGAGCCTAGGGTGTTTGGGCTTGACAAGTTCAACGGTGACAACTTTGCTGAATGGTCCTTCAAGATGGAGAACATCTTTTGACCACTATGATCTGCTGGAGGTGATGGAAGGAACGGAGAAGCGCCCCGAGAACGACCCGGAGAAGAGCCCGTGGGTGTGGAAGAGCGCACAAGGCTATCTCCTACTTGGGCAAGCGTTGGGGAGCAGCCAAATCCGTCACATCAAGCCATTCCAGCATGAACCAGAGACGGGACCAAAGGCATGGGCTGCTCTCAAGGGTGTACATGCTCTTGCAACAGCGGCGGCAGCGGTGGTGTTGGAACGGCAAATGGCGGCAGTACGAATTGAAGAAGACGAAGCGGTTGAAGAAGGGGTGCAGAAATTCTTCGACTTGTTGACGCGGCTTGAGGGAGCTGATTTGAACTACAGTGAGCTCCAAAAGAAGACCAAGTTGCTGGCCTTACTCCCAGAGTCATGGTCCTCGCTCATCATCAACCTCAATCGTGACTTGCCCCGCCTCTCGCTTGAAGACGTGAAGCGAGCGATCCTTCAAGAGGACTTTCGCCGCCGTGAGTTGACGAGTGCGGATGGTGCCGGGGCAGCAAGCATTGGCCGAGGGTATGGCCATGGAAGGGGCAGAGGACAAGGGGGAAGCAGATTTGGCAGCAACAACTTCAATGGAGGCCGCGGGAGTGGCAGATACGGCAGCGATAACAAGAGCTACGGACGCGGTCGCGGCCGATTCGACGGCGAGTGCCACTATTGTCACCAGAGCGAACATATGTGGCGCGATTGCTTCAAGCTCCCTGATGGATGGACCCCTGCTCAAGGCCAAGAGGGTAGAGGAGTAGGAGGAGGGAGAGGAAGAGGCCGTGGAGGCCATGGCAGTCGTGGAGGTGGTGCTGCAAATATGAGGAACGGTGACAACGAGAGCGAGTCGAGGGACGATCGCTTTCCAGGTCAATTCTTCTTCGTGTCGACGCAAGCACCGGCTGCACCAGAGAAGGATGAAAGCTTTGAGGAGCCTGCTGCTGTGGGGAAGGTGACCCTACACTCCCTGGACTATTGGGTGATCGATAGCGGCGCTACCTATAGCATGACATCTCGTGCGGACTTACTCACCGAACTTGAACCGTCACCGGTCAAGCATGTGACATCGGCTTTGGGGCAGCGAGCAGAG